GCCCAGGCCCAGAGTTCAGGCCCCACAACCAGACCCAAAAAATAATAATAAAAATAAATAAATTTTCATTACTATAATTCTCAAATTCCACGAAGTGTCACTAGCAGAGTTAACATGGTATTTTTGTATAAGAAGATAATCATCAAAGTAGACTAAAAAGTAAGCAAACTAATTCCCAGTGATCAGCCTGTCACTGATGTAAATCAGTATCATTTTTTCAAACTAGATTTTCATTACAGAAATTTAATATTATGAGGTATTTTAAATTCAATACTTAAGTTGGATATCAAAGTAATCACTTATTCTCCATCCACTCTATCAATCACCACACAGAATCATCTCATGGATAAGGAACACTAAGCTGGATATCAAAGCCTGATTTTTACTACTGCCCAACAGCAACAACTTAGGCAAACCTTCAGTTTATTCAAGTATAAAACAAGATAGAATTTTACAAATTAACATTTTGTATAAACAAAATTAATTTGTTTCTGAGATCACTGCTAAGTAAAAGTAAAGCAGCACATGGGGAATTTAAACTAAATAGTAAACTAAATAGTAAGATGTTAAGATGACTGATTTTCAAATGCAAAGGAGAGAGGGAAACAGCTTGTATAAGAAGATTATCCAAGTAGTATGCTGACCACACAAGCTCCCGGGACAGCAAAAATTATGAAAGAGCAGAATAAATGTTCAAGGAAAATAGCTACCACAGAAATACCAAAATAAAAAACAGATGCTCTCTCACGTAATTATTGCTGTTACAGAAGCTTTTCAACATGCCTAAGAACCCATAAGAAGTCCTCATAGAAAAGTTTTGTTTTTGTTATTTTTTGCCAGTTCTGGGGTTTGAACTCAGAGCCTGGGCGCTGTCCCTGAGTCTCTTTTGTGCTTAAGACTAGCCTCTACCACATGTGCCACAGATCCACTTGAGGCTTTTTCGGGTCATTTATTGGAGATAAGAGTCTCACTGGGCTGGGAAGTTGGCTCAGTGGTAGAGCGCTTACCTTGCATGCCTGAGACCCTGGGTTCGATTCCTCAGCACCACATAAGCAAAAAAGAAAAAACCCGGAAGTGGCACTGTGACTCAAGTGGTAGAGCGCTAGGCTTGAACTGAAGAGCTGAGGGACAGTGCCCAGGCCCAGACTTCAGGCCCCACGACCAGACCCCCCCTAGCCCCCACCCCACCCGGCAAAAAAAAAAGTCTCACTGGGACTTTTCTGCCTGGGCTAGCTTTAAACCACAATCCTCAGATCTCAGCCTCCTAAGTAGCTAGGATTATAGGCATGAGCCACTGGAACCAGGCGAGAAATGCTTCTAAATCTGGGGCTTGAACTCAGGGCCTGGGCACTGTCCCTGAGCTTCTTTTGCTCAAGGCTAGCACTCTACCACTTGAGCCACAACCCACTTCTGCCTTTTTCTGTTTATGTGGTACTGAGGAATTGAACCCAGGGCTTCATACCTGCTAGGCAAGCACTCTACCAATAAGCCACTTTCCCAGCCCAAGAAATGCCTTCTTAAACATCAAAATTACCTTTTTGTACCTTCAAACCTGAAAAAAACAAACAAAAATATCAGGTAAAGACTGGGTTATTTTTGCCTATAATATACCTTCTAGACCATAATTTAAACCTTTATAGCATTTAATAATATGCCCTAAACATCACATTTAGTAATATGATATAAAATTCAATGCACATTGAATAAACAAGTGAATGAGGGGAAAATACATGAACCTCTGAACATAATTCAGATCACTCTTTACTACTTGCTTTGTACCATATTCTAATAAAATCCAGTGAGTAAAATAAACACATAGGCAAAGGCAGGTACTGTATACCAGCCCATAGATCTAGCTACTTGTAAGCTGAGATATGGGGAACATGTGAAGAGGATACCCTACACAACTTATTGATTAAATAAAAAAGAGCAGATGGGAGTACTTACATATGAGAGACCCATCATTTCCAAGAACCAGTAAAACTTTGGAATAAAAACTAAGACCACAAAATATAATTAAAACCAACTAACAAAAACACACAAAAGTAACAAATAGGCTGACACCTATACTGATCCCTAACACACACACACACACACACACACACACACACACACACACAAGCCAGGTGTGGTGGCCCATGCCTATAATCCTTGCTACTCAGGAGGCTGAGATCTGAGGATCATGGTTCAAAGCCAACCCAGGCAAGAAAATCTGTGAAAGTTTCATCACCAATAAAACACTAGAAAACTGGAAGTGGTGCTGTGGCTCAAGCAGTAGAGTGCTAGCCTTGAGCTGAAAGAGCGCAGGGACAGAGCACAGGCCCAGAGTAGAAGCCACACGACCGACAAAAAAAATAAAAATAAAACCAAACAATTTTAAAATTGTAGTCTTCCAAACTCAGTCTTGGGGAAAACTGTCTCAGTTACATTCAAAGAAATTAAGTTAATTACAAGTATTTCATTTTTAACTAGGAAGACAGTCCAAGTATTAAAGTTTTACTATGTTTTTAAAGTCCAAAAGGCATCCAGTTAAAATTATATACTTCTTTAGAAGCTATGGGAAATCACAGCTATTTAGGTATGTCACAATACACAATCAGGTGTATTCTGTTAAGAATAAATGTGAATATTTTTCTAACTATGTTTACTCATTCCACAAAAATTTAAGGTGTCAATATCCTTTACATATACACATACACACATAAAGCAGGTGCCTTAAACACAGATCCAGAAAAGATTCTATCCTGCCCTCCAGGATAGAAGTAGAAAGTAAAGAATCATGACAGATTTGCAGATAAAGCATTACAGGATCCCAAAAAGCTGTTACCACTACCACCCAGAAATACAACCCTTTAGATTTGTTTAACAGTTCCTATTAGCTCATTTTAGACAAACAGGCCAACTCTATGAGGGCAAACAAGCACGACATTTTCCCTAGATGAGGAAATTAAAGCACAAAATAGGTACAGTTAATTACAGGAATAATCAGAACTCAAAATTATATTTTCTCTGGGGAGTAGTTTAAAATACAGCAGCTCTCTTCCAAAAGGAAAGGGTATGTTAGTATGGCCAAGCAATCACTTCCTAGTATGCATATTTTATACATACATACACATATACATATACATACAAAGACCTTGATTTTCATTAACAGGTGTGTTTAAGGCAAGGCAAAACAACCGGGAACTATAATTACTAAAGTTCAAAGAAGTTTCAACAGAATGAGAAAATAATCTCTTTACTCTGCAATTTTACATCTAGTACCTATTTCAAAATCTGTCAAATCCTAAGCAAGTACAAAATGGTTCATTCAAACTATTCATGATAGAGGACACCAAAATATTTCCAGAACATTATTAAGAATAAATACAAGGGGCTGGGAAGGTGGCTCAGTGGTACAGTGCTTGCCTCCCATGAACAAGGCCCTGGGTGCACTTCCTCAGCACCACATAAGCAGAAAAAGCCGGAAGTGGACCTGTGGCTAAAGTGGTAGAAGGCTAGCCTTGAGCTGAGGGACAGCGCCCAGACCCAGAATTCAGGCCGCACGACCAACAATAAAATAAAATAAAAAATAAAAAAATAAAGCCAGATACCAGTGGCTAGGTAAGATCTGAGGACCATAGTTCGAAGCCAGCCTGGGCAGGAAACTCCCTGAGACTCTTATCTCCAATAAAGGTAGGAAATGGCGCTGTGGTTCAAGTGGCAGAACGTTTGCCTTGAGCAAAAGAAGCTCAGGGATGGCGCAAGGGCCCAGAGTTCTAGCCCCAGAACCGATTAAAGAAAAAAAAAAAGGAAGAAATACAGTAATGTCACAAACTCAACAGGACAATCCATGGAGCCCAGAATTATTCATCTGTATGGATCAAGATATATATGAATGGACATGTGTGGGCCTTTAAAATCCCAGGCCTCTTGTTTGCACACAGCTCTATTCAATCTCCAATCATAGTCTCACCAGGGTGCACACGAGGTATGTAAATTTCTATATAATTATAGAGTGTAATTAAGAAATCTGAGGCAGGTGAATACACTAATCCCAAAGATTAGAATTACCCATAGTACTACTCTTCTAGGTTAACTCTTGTTGAAGAAACAACTGTGGTATGCAACTCTGACATTTCCTGAACAAAATACTTTTTCTAAATTCACATATTCCCATCCACCCTTTTAATACATGACTGCTTCTGACCCAGTTCGTTCAAAGAATTTGGTATCCTCTCCGTTGACATCTCAATCAATTATAGCTTCTCAAATTCCAGTCCTCCCCACACCCAAAAAAAGAGGTTCACGGCCCACTTGGCACATTACACCAACAGTAATAATCGGCGGAAGGGACAGAGTTCTTATCTTTGCCATCTCCACCACCACCCACCCTTCGCCATTACACCCTGCTGCTTAGTGGGCTTAGAAAGGTTAACTAGTTGGTTCTTCACACACTTGTCCAACGCTGTCACCCTCCCCAACCTCCTCCACACTCCCAAGGCGGCCACGAACTCCACCGCCGAGGGAGCCCAGGCCCGCCACCGGCACGACCCCTCCCAGAGACTCCCAGCCCAGGCGTCCTCCCGGGTCGGGCTCTGCACCCTCCCTCGCCGCAAACACCCGGAACGGGGCGGCCGGGCCGCAGCCGCAGCCCCATTCTACCTCCAAACTCCAGAAGCTTCCCCACTCGTCCCGGGCTCCCGGCGCGCCCGACTCATCGCTGGGCGGATGAAGAGGTAGTGGGGCGGCTACGACAGGTCCCAATCAAGGTGGCCGTACGAGGCGCCGTCCGGCCGAGAAGCAAACGCCTGAGGGCGGCCGGTGCGCGCAGAGTCCTCCGAAGCCCCTAAGGCTGAACCGGGGGCCTGGAGGCCGGGGCTGTGGACCCCGGGGCCTACTCACCCGGAGCTGGCGGGGCGTGGGAGCCGGCGTCCCCGTTCCGTACGGCCTGAGGAAAAGGGCGCGGCCCCGGCGCGAGGCCCTCTGCTGGGCCTTCGCTCGGAGCGACGAGCCGGGCGCTCACTCCAGCCGCCGCCGCCGTCGCCGCTGTTGCTGCGGCTTCGCCACCTTGGCCGCCATCTTGACTCAACCCCCTCCTTTCCCTCCCCCCGCGCCCGGCGGCCTCGGCGAAGGCGGCTCCGACGCCGGCTCCTCCTCCTTCCGGAGGGTTGGGAGGTGGGCTCCCTCCCCTGGCCGCGCGCCGCTCCTACCTCGGCCAAGTTTCTGAGGTCTCTCCGTGCCAGTCTCTTTCGAGTCTCCCCTCAGCGGGGCGGCGGCGCTTCCCCTCAGACGCCAAGGGGACCGGGCAGTGCCGCCCCCGGCCCTGCCGAGCGCGGCTGC